GAACCTATGTAAGCCTCGTAGGTCTTTCTACATACCGTACATACCAACCGTAGAAAACAACTTTAAGCTTTAAAATTTCACTAAGTTTGATGGTCACCTACACGACCTATATTTGAGTTTATCTAATGTTAAGTAAGTCTTTTGCTGAGAGTTGAGCTAGGCCAAGGGTCCGCTTGGGGCAAGCAATGGTTCTCGAGTGATGCCCATGTCCAGAGTGTAGGCTTGAGGCGTGAAAAACATGGTATTAGAGCACAAAGCTCAAGAGTCTTAGGGTGTCTATGAAGCCACATCTCTAGATTCCTATGTCTCGGTATGAAGCGTGCCACTTCTATAATTAGGAGGCTCTTACATTTGGGAACTATATCACTTCTTTCGTACTATTTTCATGCGATAGATTTCAACTCAGTAAAGTTTCTTTCTAATTCGTGCTTGTGCGTATCATTCCGATCATGCCTCCATGAAGAGCTATTTGAGGTCGTCCTTCTAGGAGGAATGTTGATTCCCGAGATTAAGAGGTTCCTAATGCACCAGAAGTGCAACCCCAAGGAGAGGTCACTAATGCTGAGTTTCGGGATGCTAACCGGACGTTGAGTCAAGTGGTGACCAACCAAGCTGGGCAACCTAGAGGGGTTCGACATGATGCGGCTGATACATCCAGAATCTGTGAGTTCTTGAGGATGAATCCCTAAACTTCACTGGTTAAAGTGTAACTGAGGATCCGGAAAACTTTATGGAATAGTTGTAGAAAGTGTTTGAGGTGATTCATGATGTAGATGTTAAGTGTGTGGAACTAGATGCATACCAACTTAAGGGTATTTCTAGAGTCTGGTACGAACAATGGAAGAATAGAGTTGAAGGTGCACCAATTGTGAGCTGAGATATGTTCGATGAGGCCTTCATGGGGAATTTATTTCCCCGTGAACTGAGAGAGACTAAGGTAAGAGAATTACTCACTCCTAAGCGAGAATCCATGAATGTCACGACCCGAGAGCCCCTTAGTCGTAACACGGTGTACTTGACCCCGAATGAGGCTAATATAAGCCTCTTGGCTCATTCATTTCATAGACAATAGAAAATAGAGCATAATTAAAACTTTATTTAAAACAAACTATTAAAAACTCTTTCATAAAGTAGCGGAAATACTAAGTCTCACATGGCCATCTTAGGACAAACTTTAACAAGATAGGGTCACGGCTCTTTACAATCGAAAAATACTAGAATGTCTATTACAAAGTCTTAAACATAAATGAACTAGAACAATAAGAGTCTTTGTCCTCGATCTACGATGACATACCAAGTCTTCGAGGAAAACTCTATCCAAGCACTTTAACCTCTAGCTAGAAACGATCACTTGCCAGAACCTACACTTGTAATAACAATAGGAAAATATGGGTTAGCACACAAAAATGTACTAAGTATGATGACCATGCAAAAACATGCTTTAAAAAGGACATTTTTGTTGAAGGTCATGCTTTATGCCATTTTAGATAAAACTTCATGAGTACAAGTATAAGAGGCATAATACAAGTCACAACCAACATACAAGACATTATCCACATTATAGACATGTTCAACATATAAACCCATTACCTTTACCTTTTCACTTTCACCCCAAGCAACCCTCAAGTAACACTTTGTGCAATGTATGGATAGCGTCCCATACCACTATCCACACCTAAGAATCACCCTAAGGTCACCAAAAGTGAACTCACCATTAATCATGCTTCATTTACAAGTAATCATGCTCAACTAGTACTAACATACAACACATGAGTCAAGTAAGTCATTTCATCATCTTAGGAACTATATCTAAAGTTACCTTAAGATACATCTAAGTAAGATGTGAAGTGGCAGCCCATACTACCTCTTCATACACACCTAGGTGTTCCTCAAGGCTACAATAAATAAGAACCTTTACAATTCAACACAACATGCTAAGTAACTCATTTCATCAATATAAGCTACTCATTCATTATTTCATTTAGGCAATGAGTCAACTATCTTGATTAGATTCATTTAGGACATTTTCACGCATTTAGAGGACTTTCACACATTAGTCATTAAGACTTAGAGAACTCACTATAGCACCTTCAAAGCCTACTCGTGCAATGTATAGATACCATCCCATACTAATACCTACACTTTGTAGTACCTATCAAGTAACTACAATGCACATCTCACATGATGGGAATAGGCATTAACCAACATAGATCATGAGAGCTAATCATGGAATCCGGTGTTATAAAATCCACACCGTGGAAGGTGTTCTACTTGCCAAGGGTAGAACTAATACACATCCTATGTAGGCACATAGTTTATGGGATATTCAAACATGTTCATTGGACTCTAGCCTAACATTGGGAAGAGCCACCATCTTAACCATATCCACTCGGTGTTTAGCCTTAGTTCCCATAGAGTAGTTTCATTCACATTAGTGTACTAGAGAGGGCCACCAACATTAGGCCCTACCGACCCTAAGTACTTTTACCAAGAAGAGCCACCCCCAATTGGCCTACCGTTTCTAGGTTCATTAAGGATAGCTCATTGATCTTCCTAGAGAGAGCGACCACCATTAGGTCTACCATCTGTAGGTTCATCATTTCACACAAGAAGGAGAACACCACCATTAGGTCTACCACTTCAAGGTTTCACATTCACATAGGGTTCTAGACTCACTATGAAGGGCCACCAACTTTAGGTCTACCGATTCAAGTCATAGTCTAAAATGCCTCATTAGTCATTTATAGAAAGGCTACCAACATTAGGTCTACCAATCAAGACATTCATTCATTCATTCATGCATTTATAAAGAGGTTACCAATAAGGTCTACCAATTCTAGACATTAAGACATCAAGTAAAGATACATTCATTACTCAAGAGAAGGATGCCTAATCCTACCAAGTCAAGAGATCACATTCAATATAACTTTCATTTATCAAGAAGAGGGAACCTAAGTCTACTAAGTCAAGATAAGACATTACTATATAGAGCCCCTTCACATTCTACCATAACCATTCATAAGTGTTTAGTGAGAATACACTTTCAATCACAACACATTCACATTCCATATAAGATCATCATTCTACCATTGAAACCACAAGTATAACCTTCACATCACAATCATTTGCAAAACATCATGACAATACTTCAATTCCTCATATAATGCCTTCAAGGCCATGATCAAAATGTACATGTAAGTAAACACCTCCACCTTTAAAGTGGATCAACAATTCAAGAATAATTCTACTACATCAGAATTAGGTCACCCCTTACCCTTCTCCAAAGCCATAATCACCATTACTCAATTCTCCAACAATTCACCATAGATAGGCATATATAATAATTAAATTCAATAATATAACTCAATCTAAGCACAATTCCATCAATCATTCATTCATATACATCAAACCCAATTCATCAGCCAAATTTAGGAATTTAGAGAAATCATGGGTTCATGGAGTTTTACATCTTAAAATAATCAATTAAACATCAAACTAATCATAGTTTATCAATTGAAAACGTTTGAAGCAAGAACCCATGAGATTGAGTGAAATCTAGGTTTTTGGTGAAACTTGAAAACCTTGAAAACATCGTTGAAATTGACTCTAGGGTGAAAACTAACCGTAGATGAAGGATCACCATACCTTATACTTGAAGAATCCCACCAAATTTTAGTAGAAACACTTTGAAATCCCCAACCCTAGCTTGAACTTGACCTTGACCTTCAATGGAGTTCTAGAGGGAACTTTTTGGGAGGGAAGAGTTTTGTTTTGGGGAAATATGAAGAATGAATTCTAAAATAGGATATTAATGTTTTAATACTCTTAAAATACCTAAAAAATCTTAAAATATCCGTCCATGCAATTAGAACAATTAATTAACTCATTACCAAAAGGACCTTACCTTGGCTGAGACTTGCACTAGAAAAATAGTGCCCATTCACGGCTCCCATCCACAGTACGTGGATGGGTTGACGGCACCGTGCTATCCCTCCGTGGAGTGGGACTGAGACATGGTTTTGGTGCTCATGACCTACGGAGGCCATCCACGAACCGTGGATGGACCTACGGGGCGTGAACTCCATCCGTAGGTCACCCTAAGTTGGCAAACTCACTAGATTCAAGGGGTTTGGGGGGTTAGACTTGGGGTCCTCCTCACGGACCCTTAGGGTGGTCCTTGGGGAGTCGTAACTTGACGTTCAACCCCTAAACACCTCAACCATGACTCGGGACAATATGAAACACCATCAAAACTCAAGATGAACCCATGTCAAGCTCTAATTTCACTAGTTCGTTTTTAGGGTTGTTACATTATCCCCCACTTAGGAACATTTGTCCTCAAATGACACTTAAACCACATTTAGGGTAACGACTCAAGATTAGAAGGCCAAAATCATGCATGCAATATCAATAAAATGCACATAACTAGGAGGAAACATCTACTCCACATCACAAAGGCTCAAACAACTTCATGCAATTCAATAAAGTTGGAACAACATCTACCAACTCATTAGGCATCAAAGCTTCACATTTCTCATTACATTGGAGGAACTTCTTCTCCAAATCACAACATGCTCATTACAACATCTTTAGGTACATTATGCAATTTCCTCATAAAAGGACATTATGCAATTCTTTCAAGAACATATTTAAGTATGATCAACAAGTCAACTCATGAAATATTTAGGCAACTCATCATAGATGCATATAACTATGCAGAACACAATTTGAAAACTCATTTTCTCAACTATACAAGAATTCAATTAGAAGATGCACAACATAAGGAGACTATAGGAACTCATATTCACACAAGACTCCAAAGCATGCAACAAGCTACTAGGAACTCTAGGTCTCAAGCTTGAACAAGAATAGAAGGAAAGAGATAAGGATATCAACACTCTCAACAACCTTACTATTCAACATACCATCCTCCACTTAGGAGAAAACCCAACTAAGGCAATCATGAAATAATACAAGGACCTCATCACAAAAACAAGGAACTATAACTTACCGGTACCTTCATCCGGATTAGCTCCCTTGTCCTTGTTAGCTTGAAGCACATAGAAACGGTTCTTCTTTGGAGCATCAAGATTTGGGCCATTAAGAGAAGCTTGTTTGGCCTCCCTTCCTCTAGCCGTAAGAGTAGGACAATATTTCACTTGGTGATCATTCTTCCCACAACCATAGCACCCACTAGTACCGGCTAGACACTTCCCAAAATATTTCTTTCCACAATTGTGACAAGTAGGTTTAGAAACTTGAGAACCACCAACTCTTTCTTGGTTAGCCTTAAGAGAACTTGAAGAATCTTTGTTAGGAGCTCTCTTCTTGAACCTAGGTTGACCTTGCTCATCGGATCTACCCCTTTTCAAATCCCTATTCACCCTATTAAGTTTAGACTCCTCAATAGATTGAGCATACACAACGAGTCTAGAAATATTCATATCACCATGGAGCATTGCCGTAGAACACTCTTCCTTAACTAGGTTGAATACACCAGTAGAAAACCTACTTATCTCATCTCTAGGGTTAGACACCAAGGATGGAGCATACTTAGACAATAGGGTAAACTTCAAGGAATACTCCTCCACACTTCTGTTACCTTGCCTAAGGTTTATAAACTCCTCAACCTTACACTCCTTCTTCTCACGGGGAAAGTACTTACCAAGGAAGGCACTCTTAAACTCCTCCCATTCTATAGGACCCGCTTCAACCGGCCTATTGGCTTTCCATTGAGTGAACCACACTTGGGCCACTTCTTTCAATTTATAGGAAGCCAACTCCGCCTTCTCCCTATAAGGTACTCCCATAGCATCTACAATCTTATAAACTTCATCCAAGAATTCTTGGGGATCTTCTCCCACTTTAGAGCCAAGAAAAATAGGAGGATTCATCCTCACAAAGTCTCTCAATCTTAAGGCTACGGTACTCTCATTAGCATTCACCCTAGTCCCCACATCTCTATTTGCTTGAGCCATCATGGCTCGAGCTAGGGTTAGATAAGCCGATCTAATCTCTTCATTGGTCATGTCCAGGGGAACCACCAGAACTTCATTCCCTTGATTGCCTAGAGGAACTTGTTCACCTTGAAGGCCTTGATCACCTTGGGGAGGAACTCCCTCATTCACCATCTCCTCTTCCACCTTTCTTGGGTTAGCCCTTGTATTTATAGCCTATAAACACAAGAGAAGGATTAGGAAACGGACATTTATAGAATATCACTCTAAGGCACAATTTCAATAATATGAAAGAAGTGTAACTTTATAACGTCATATAGCCTTTCACTCATAGATGTGTCGCAAATCACACCGATGAACAAGACTCTACTAGACGTGGGTTGTGAGACTTTGATCCTAAAAACCATTTCCAAAATCTTATTCTCTGATACCAAGATTGTCACGACCCAAGAGCACCCCCTAGTCGTAACACGGCGTACTTGACCGCGAAGGGGTCTAATACAAGCCTATTAGCTCATTCATTGCACAGATAATAGAAAATAAAGCAAAATTAAAACTTTATTTAAAACCAAACTATTAAAAACTCTTTCATAAAGCAGCGGAAATGATAAGTCTCACATGGCCATCTTAGGATAAACTTTAACAAGATAGGGTCACGACCCATTACAATCGAGAAATACTAGAATGTCTATTACAAAGTCTTAAACATAAAGGAACTAGAACAATAAAAGTCTTTGTCCTCGATCTACGAGGACATACCAAGCCTTGGAGGAAAACTCTATCCAAGCACTTTAACCTCTAGCTAGAAATGATCACTTGCCAGAACCTACACTTGTAGTAACAATAGGAAAATATGGGTTAGCACACAAAAATGTACTAAGTATGATGACCATGCAAAAACATGCTTTAAAAGGAACATTTTTTGAAGGTCATGCTTTATGCCATTTTAGATAAAACTTCATGAGTACAAGTATAAGAGGAATAATACAAATCACAACCAACATACAAGACATTATCCACATTATACACATGTTTAACATATAAACCCATTACCTTTACCTTTTCACTTTCACCCCAAGCAACCCTCAAGTAACACTTTGTCAATGTATAGATAGCGTCCCATACCACTATCCACACTAAGCATCACCCTAAGGTCACCAAAAGTGAACTCACCATTAATCATGCTTCATTTTACAAGTAATCATGCTCAACTAGTACCAACATACAACACATGAGGACATGAGTCAAGTAAGTCATCTCATCATCTTAGGACCTATATCTAAAGTTACCCTAAGATACACCTAAATAAGACATGAAGTGGCAGCCCATACTATCTCTTCATATACACCTAGGTGTTCTTCAAGGCTACAATAAATAAGATCACTTACAATTCAACACAACATGCTAAGTAACTCATTTCATCAATATAAGCTACTCATTCATTATTTCATTTAGACAATAAGTCAACCATCTTCATTAGATTCATTTAGGACACCTTCACGCATTTAGAGGACTTTCACAAATTAGTAATTAAGACCTAGAGAACTCACTATAGCACCTTCAAATCCTACTCGTGCAATGTATATATAGCTTCCCATACTACTACCTACACTTTGTAGTACCTATCAAGTAACTACAGTGCACATCTCACATGATGGGAATAGGCATTAACCGACATAGACCATGGGAGCTAATCATGGAATCCGGTGTCATAAACCCCACACCGTGGAAGGTGTTCTACTTGCCAAGGGTAGAACTAATACACATCCTATGTAGGAACATAGTTTATGGGATATCAAAAGATGTTCATTGGACTCTAGCCTAACATTGGGAAGAGCCACCATCTAAACCATATACCCTCGGTGTTTAGCCTTAGTACCCATAGAGTAGTTTCATTCATATTAGTGTACTAGAGAGGGCCACTACCATTAGGCCCTACCGACCCTAAGTACTTTTAACAAGAAGGGCCACCACCAATAGGCCTACCATTTCTAGGTTAATTAAGGATAGCTCATTGATCTTCCTAGAGAGAGCCACCACTATTAGGTCTACTATCTCTAGGTTCATCATTTCACACAAGAAGGAGGCCACCACCATTAGGTCTACCGCTTCAAGGTTTCACATTCACATAGGATTCTAGACTCACTATGAAGAGCCACCAACTTTAGGTCTACCGATTCAAGTCATAGTCTAAAATGCCTCATTAGTCATTTATAGAAAGGCTACCAACATTAGGTCTACCAATCAAGCCATTCATTCATTCATGCATTTATGAAGAGGCTACCAATAAGGTCTACCAATTCTAGACATTAAGACATCAAGTGAAGATATATTCATTACTCAAGAGAAGGATGCCTAAGCCTACCAAGTCAAGAAATCACATTCAATATAACTTTCATTTATCAAGAAGAGGGCACCTAAGTCTACCAAGTCAAGATAAGACATTACTATATAGAAACCCTTCACATTCTACTATAGCCATTCATAAGTGTTTAGTGAGAATACACTTTCAATCACAACACATTCACATTCCATATAAGACCATCATTCTACCATTGAAACCACACGAATAACCTTCACATCACAATCATTTGCAAAACATCATGACAATACTTCAATTCCTCATATAATGCCTTCAAGACCATGATCAAAATGTACATGTAAGTAAACACCTCCACCTTTCAAGTGGATCAACAATTCAAGAATAATTCTACTACATTAGAATTAGGTCACAACTTACCCTTCTCCAAAGCCATAATCACCATTACTCAATTCTCCAACAATTCACCATAGATAGGCATTAGATAATAATTGAATTCAATAATATAACTCAATCTAAGCATAATTCAACCAATCATTCATTCAGTTACATCAAACCCACTTCATAAGCCATCTTTAGGAATTTAGAGAAATTATGGGTTCATGGAGTTTTTAATCTCAAATCATCAATTAAACATCAATCTAATAATAGTTTATCAATTGAAAACGTTTGATGCAAGAACCCATAAGATTGAGTGAAATCTAGGTTTTTGGTGAAACTTGAAAACCTTTAAAACATCTTTGTAATTGACTCTAGGGTGAAAACTAATCATAGATGAAGGATCACCATACCTTATACTTGAAGAATCCCACGAAATTTGAGTAGAAACACTTTGAAATCCCCAACCCTAGCTTGAATTTGACCTTGACCTTCAATGGAGTTCTAGAGAGAAATTTTTGGGAGAGAAGGGTTTTGTTTTGGGGAAATATGAAGAATGAATTCTAAAATAGGATATTAATGTTTTAATACTCTTAAAATTGCTAAAAACTCTTAAAATATCTGTCCATGCATTTAAAATAATTAATTAACTAATTACCAAAAGGACCTTACCTTGGCCGAGACTTGCACCAGAAAAACAGTGCCCATTCACGGCTCCCATCCACGGACCATGGATGGGTTGACAGAACCGTGTTGTACCTCTGTGGAATGGGACTGATACATGGTTTTGGGGCTCATGACCTACGGAGGCCATCCACGAACTATGGATGGACCTACGGGGTCTGAACCCCATCCGTAGGCCACCCTAAGTTGGCAAACTCACTAGATTCAAAGGGGTTTTGGGGGTTAGACCTGGGGTCCTCCTCAAGGACCCTTAGGGTGGTCCTTGGGGAGTCGTACTTTGACGTTCAACCCCTAAACACCTCAACCATGACTCGGGACAACATGGAACACCGTCAAAACTCAAGACGAACACATGTCAAGCTCTAGTTTCACTAGTTCATTTTTAGGGTTGTTACAATGAATGTGCATAAGTACAGCTTCAAGTTCACTCAACTGTCTTGTTATGCTCCGAAAATCATTGCTGATACGAGGTGCAAAATGAGTTTGTTTGTTTCTGGGTTGTCTCATCTATCAAGCAAATAGGGTAAGGTAGCTATGTTGATAGGGGACATGGACATAGCAAGGTTGATGGTCCATTTGCAGCAGGTTGAGGAAGATAAGCTGACAGATAGCGAAGAATTCCGAAACAAGAAGGATAAGACAATAGGAAATGAATCTGGGCAGTAGAAGAGTAATGCATACTGGTCATTCTTTCAACAAAAGCTAAATAGACCTGCTCCATCATCTATTAGTGCACCTGCACCAAGGAACAAAGGTGAGTATAAGAATCATAATTCTTAGAACTTCAGAGCTAGATCTGCACAATCTCAAGGTAGTGTGGTACAAAGAGGTAATTGGACTCCTGCATGTGCTAAGTGTGGTGGGAACCACCGAGAAACGTGTTGTGATGGCTCCACTGGTTGCTTCAAATGTGGTCAGAATGGTCACTTCATGAGAGAGTGCCCTGAGAACATGCAAGGTAATGGTAATGGGGTAAATAGAGCTCAATCTTCTTTAATGGCTCTACCAGATAGAGCTGCACATGAGCTGCTTCAGGGACAGGCAGAGGAGCAAACCGTCTGTATGCTATCACCAGTCATCAAGAATAAGAGAATTCACCAAATGTTATCACTGGTTTGATCAAAGCCTTTATGAAATTTTTGTAGGAATACGAAACGATTTTTGTAGGAATACGAAAAGATTTTTAATTATTTATTTTATTTGATAATATATTTCATAAATAATATTTTTTATAAAAAATAAATATATTATACAAATATTACTACTTACTTTCTCATTACTAAATTTTACGTCAAATAAATATTGTTCTTAAGGGTCAACTCAATTTTTCTAGTTAAATATAATTTCTATTAATACAATGAACATATTTCGACATTTTTTTTTCCAAAATAAGGAAATCTTAATTAATTAATTAGTTACTAATTTAAATTAATTTTATTTTTAGAATGACTAATTATATCAAATAAGCTAGTCTTGCAAAATATTTTTTTTTAATTTAATAAATTATGACTATTTAATAAAGAAGATTATAATTTAAATGATTTAATTTGAGCAAAATTTGGCAATTCAAGTCATCCTAGTTCAGCCAATCCGCGTGTGCCACGTAGGAAGCATATGGATTGTGCTTCTTTAGCTTCAATCTTGGCCCTAGATCTAATCTAACGGCTTTAATTAATTCATCCTTTAATTGTTATTTTTTAAACTCTTTTTATTAATCGTCTGATCAAACGATCGGACGGTCAAAATTAGATAAGACTTTAATAGACCCCCTACCGCCCCCCTATACTCTTTC